AAAACAAAAACCGGTCTGATACCTGGTTCAATTAAAGGACGATCGGGTATATTTGAAAAATATTGGTCTGGTTTTGTTGACAAGGCAAATACTAGGCATCCGGAGCATACCATAGATCAACTTGAATATGTACTTATCTCTATGATTCAACACACTCTCTGCAGTCGCCTTCCATTCACTTTTCCATCCAATGAAGAGACTTATTAGGCGTTTACGCCTTCCCAAGCAACTCAAGAGCCTATAACATGAGGTGTTCCCGATTCTACAAATGTTTCTGATGGTCCTCCTTTGATGTTCACAAGTGAAGAACCAGCTAAGCTCCTTACTGACGAGGAACTCTCAGACGGTGTTATATTCGAAGATGACAACACAACAATTAGTGCTGTTCCAATCCTCAAATCCTTTAATGTGTTAGGAAATCCTTCCTCCTCAAAACTGATATATGATTTTGATCTTTTCTCATCATCCATGGAATCTAAAGAAGAAGAAGAAGTCGAAGCCACCAAGCACTCCTCTCCTATCATTATAATGACAACCCTGGTCATCACATCTCCACCACCACCATTATGCTCAAGATTCATGACGACATGATTAATGCTACCAACAAACTCATTAAGCAGAATCATTTTCATCATGAGAAACAAATTTAGAGACTGGAAATAGAGATTTGGAAAAAGGATGCCATGAATATGATAATGCAAGACGTTTTCATCAAGTTGATCCGTGCCACTTGGAATGTTGTTGATGTTCTGAACAACAAGTTTGATGAGATGCTCGTAATTATTGATGAAACATTTGACCATCTTAAAGCTCAAGCTCCTACAGTCAAAGCTTATGATTCTATCTCCAATCAAATCAACATGATATTTCAAAGTGTTTTAATGGTTTGGTGAACTTCAAAGTGAAGCCATACTTGCATCAGATGCACGACCTTCTATGATAGAAGGGGAGAAGGAATCAGTGAAAGAGAAAGACAAATTCAATGGAAAACTGTCTTGGAGTTTGTGCTCTGAGATGAATTGTTTGATGATGAAATACTAAATGTTGAAACTCTTGAACCTCTGGAGTTAGATGATGAAGAAGATGAAGACCTGGTTGAAAACATGATTTAAGAACTTCAAGCTATTAGGGAACAACCTGTAAAGATTATTTTGGATGCAGAAAAGTTGAAATGGTCTTCGGTTACGTGGCCATCATCTTTAGCAGAAACGTTCAGATGAAGTTGAGATATAGAAAAAAATCATGCCAAGCTAACTATCGATGCATTCTGAGCAACTCAATCAATGCATCCACCAATCCTTGCTCTAAGTATTACTCAAATCGATGTAGGTTCTCCAAATTGGAAACATGATAATCTCCATGAAGAGCCTCTAATTCCTCCTCCATTTGAATTTTTAATCACGGAGACTGGTCAACAAATCATTTCCTCTTTTTCTGGCACAAGCGAAAATCCTCAAGACAAGGGCAAACAAATTGCTACTGAATCGTACAACCTATTCAAGACGTTGAAAAAGTCTGAGTGTTGGTCTCAAGATCAGATCAATCTAGCTTTGGAAGAAAGCATCCGGATTCAAGCGTTGAAAGACAATTTGAATCCAATGTTGGGCATATATCCTCTTTTCTGAGAAGGAGTTATTTACAACATACACTTTGTGCCCTTCATGTACTATTATCTTCCGGCACAAGATGCTGACCAACTTGACCTTCCAATCTCTCCACATTGTCATTTCTACATCAAGTTCTCTCCTCTTTATCCGAATGATGATCCTCAAATCATCATCATGATTGAACTTGTGAGATTGAGAACCTTTTACTCTACAAATGCTCGGCCCCAAAAAGTGATAGAAATATTAATTGACCGATTGTGAGAACCCATTATTTCTTTTATTAAAACTCTAAACTACAAGTGTGTTTATCTAACGTATATGCTAGATTACGAAGAAACCATGTGGAAATGGGGTGGTATAACCTTCACACTTCACATAAAATTACATGTGATGGAATCAAAGGTGTATTAGTTCAAACTTAAGGGATTAAACTTCAATAAATCAAAGTTAAAATGGGGTGGAGTGGTGTTTATGGAATTGGAGTAGTCCAAACCGTAAACACATGTTTATGGGGGGACAATCCAACCGTGAACACCCTTAAAGGGTGTAACCTCCAAACCGTGAACACCTTAAAGGTGTAAACAAATCCGTGAACCCCTAAAGGGGTGAAATTCAAATCGTAAACCCTTATTCAATTGACTCAAATCTGTAAACACCCCCCCTTAATGGGCTAAGATCCCTTTTAAGCCCAATAGTCAACCGTAAACACCTTAGGCCCAATGCCAATTCATCCGTAAATACCTTATATATATACACACATACATACATACATACATACATACATACATACATATATATATATATATATGTATATATATATATATGTTTACACCTGGGATCAATTCATTTCACTCATTTCCAACCATAAACACCCTCAAAACTCTCTCAACCTTCAAACATGAACAACCCCAAATCCTCTCAATATTCAAGTGTTTATGCTCCTATTCCTTCAAATCTTCAAACAATCCACCAAGAACATTCATATTCATCTTCAAATCTTCATATGGCCTTCAAATCATCATAATTCTATATGATCCAACCGTAAACTCCAATGCATGCAACCGTAAACCGCCTTTTCAACCATAAACCCCATTTTCCAACTTTTCAATTAATTTCCAACTTATTTGTAAGTACTCTTATACTTCATTAACTATTTAACACATCAATTAAATTAATATTATAGTTAATTTTTATACTTAATTAATTATTTAACACATCAATTAAATTAATAATATTGTTAATTTAAATGTGACGTCAAATATAATTATTTTAGGGCAACGTTATTAGCGCGCACGCTTACCCCGGGGGATCGTCGCTACAACTCGCTAATTTCGATTAACGCACATAGAAGGTGAGTACATACCCCCTACGTTTTCAATGTTTTTAATATTTTTAAGGGGGGGGGGGGGTGGGGAATACAAGTAACACACAAGGTCTATTGTGTTATAAAAATATTTTTAATTACTTCAAAAACCTTTGCAATTGTTTCATAACGAGTAGTCTCTACACTTTCTAAAATATTTTATATTTTAACCCTTTTGTAATATGTTGAGCATAAGGGTATTTCACTTTCATACAATTAAATTTCAATCGTTTTCAGTACACTATAGAATAATACGAATAAACTATTATTGGTATAATTTGGGATTCACTACTATAATAGGTATACTTTGGGGAAAACACTACTCTACTTCACTACTACAAAGATACGCCACTAAAATAATTATTTAAGTATAATTATATTACACTACAAAGTAATACATACACTTTATAATAAAAGAGAAGACTTAGACACTACGCTATACGTAAACTAGTTAATACAGGGTTGTGAGGCACTACTTCGGGTACCCACCATGGTACAGGTTCAAGTCCTATAAAGTATAACCAGAGTCTCCAGGATGGAGAGCGTGAGGTTTGTGTATAGATCTGTATGAGATTGATAATCGCACACTAAAATTGCTAGCTACAATTAGGCAGGCATGCCCGGCGGTGATAAATGTCATAATATTGACGCCTGAAGAACGTCGTAGAGGCCACTAAGTCATATTCGCATGGTTATATGAAACTCACAACAGTATAACTAAAACATTTGTTTACTGGATTAACTCTACTTCAAATGGTTTTATTTTCATTAATAAAACTATGGAACACTACTTTGTACTACAACTTTTAATAACCAGGCATTCATACATGGTTTTCATGCAAACACTACTATGGTACACTACTTACTCTACCAATGGTAAATACCAGGTTTTCATACTAAGGTTTTATACGGACACTAATATAATACACTACTTTTAATACAACTGGCGGTATCCAGGAATTATTACAAAGGTTTTACATACAAATACAAATGCAAAACACTGTTTTTATAACACAAAGTAAACTAATGCAGTATACAAATACAAGAAACATACATGATTACACTACTTTCACTATAGAAAATATTGGACTTTCTTGAGAAACTCACTAGCATTTTCAAAGTACAAAGACAAGTTTTCCAACAATAAATCATACTTATGAACTGACCAACTTAAATGTTGATAAACTTTCAAAATCACCTGTATTCTCAGGGAACCGATAAGACAGGTACACGCGCATGATTTTTAGAAGATGGAGCTTCTAGAGTCACGTCTTTTATATTTTGTTATACATTTTGATGTCATACAAACAATGTATTAAACAGATGTAAATACAGTACTTAATCAATGCAATGGTTATGTTTGCTTTGATTCCTATTATACAATTGTTGTGATACTGTACATGACGTCTTCCGCCCCCGAACATTTCCGCCGCCTCGGTTTGGGGGCGTGACACCGATAGGTTCTGTATTATGAAATGAATCATTAAAATGGAATGATAATTATTGACAAGAAGTTAAACTCCATTTATCTTAGCAATAGAACAATTCGTGTGATCGGAACATTCTTTCTATGCTGGAAGAAAATGTTACTAAAGTTGTTATAGAAAAGACAAATACAGTTGCTATATATAGACAAAGCAAGAAAACAATTCCGAAAATAGACATGCCATGTTCAGAATTGGAGCAACACAAGATTCTGAAAACTACCATTTGACAAAACATAAAATATAACTCAACAATCTCCCCATTTGTGTCAAATCCGAATGAAGCCTTGTTTATTGTCTTTGAGCGTCGAAAATCTTCGACATAATCTTCAGAAGGGTTTCCCGAATAGATACATACCAATGAATCATGCCCAAAACACATTAGACATCTGCAAGTAAGTTGGTTTGATTTTCTTTTGCCCTTGTAAGAATGAACTTCAGAGCACTTGTAGAGTAAACATGGTTATCCCTAAAAAAGAACATACAGTTATTAATTACTTCACCCTCCATTTTGTAAACGATACTCCAATGCTTTATTTCAATAAGTCATCCATTTAGATGTTGAATGTCTTCTGGTAGATCAAACGGCTTGAAAAATGGTCTCTTTTTAAGAACATAAGCTATTTCAACATCCATCTTTGCAATCTCAAGGATATAACACTTAATCATCCTTTTCAAGTGTTCATAGATGGGCTCATATTTCTTCATGTCTTTCACAACAATGTTAAATAACAAGATCCAATCAAAGGGGTTCAGAAATGGCAAATCAGCCAAAGTGAACTTGTAAAGAACATGATTGGCACCTTGGAATCCTTTGATTTGTACATTTATAAAGTCTTCGGTTTGAACCGTCAAGCTAACCTTTAGTCCCATGATTCTTTTTAAACTCTATGCCTCGTATTGTGGTTTCACATATTTCAAATAAAATGAGAAACAATTTCTATTTACAGCAGTGTTGGAGATCAAGGATTTCTCTATCTTCTCAAAGCATCTAAAGAGAAAAAACCCTCAGAGTTATAGGGAAATCCAACTAGCATTCTACATCATTATTTATGTTAAAAGAGGTTGTTGGTTCCAACCAATAGAGATTTGGATCGTCAAGCGATTCCTTTTCTATCCGCTCAAGCGTCCAGGTTGGATATAAGGTTTTTTGATTTTCAAGAATCAATTTTGAAATTTTGACTTCAGCTTCTTCGGCATCAAGTTTTTTCCCGAGAGCATTGAGTTCATCAAGCACTTTGTCCCTTTTCTCTCTTGACTTCTGTTCCGATTAAGTCATCACAAGATCTTCCTTAGTATCCTCTTCCGAAATGATATTGACTTTTCCTTTTCCACAATTGGAAGATACATGACCCTTTCGAACATCCTTAACTTCCTTGATGTTTTTAAGTTATTCTGCCATAGTCTTCTTTTCCAACGAGATGACATCAGCTTCACTTGTTTTCTTCATGGGGCCCATATGATACAGAATTTTCAAGTTCACCTCTGCATCTCCCCCTTTTTTTGAAGAAACCCTACTTCTCAAAACACCCTTACTTTCATTAAGCATTGAGAAGACGGGCTTGAGCTTTTCAGAAAGAAGTTTGACCCACATAGTCCATGAAAGGAGCATCTCGGGACTCAACATTTTGCATAAATCGTTGGTTGATTTCAAGGTTACGCCCATGAACTAAATTTTTTTCTTCCTCAAGCTTGGTAATATCAATCGATACATGTTTCAATTTTTCTTTAAGTTCTTTCGTTTTCTGTGTTTGCTCTGCCAATGCATCCATGATCTTGTTGTTAGCCGCTAAATCGTTTTGTAACCGGAGGATTCGTTCAGAAAGGAAGTTTGGAGATCAGCGTTGTCTTTCTGAATTCCGAACATGAGTTCAGAAAGAGCTTCTTTTTCTACTTGAAGAGAAGTCCAAAATCCTTCTATGAATTTGTTCAAATCAGATACATTCTTTTCAGAAGAAGTTCGAAAGTCATTCATGAACGCCTCGACTTCCTGTTGCAATTTTTGGAATTTCTCTGTAGCTTCGGATATTTTCTGCTCGAAAGCTTGATTAGCCTTGGTTGTTTCTTCAAGCACTTTTGCATTGGTTGATGTAAGCAATTCCGCAGTGGCTTTATGTGTGGTTAACATATATTCCCATTTGGATGAAGAAAAGGCATTTATACTCCATAATGGAATCAAGCTTTTCATTCAATTGCTTAAACTGTCCTGTTGTCATCAGAGCTTCGTCGTCATCACTATTGATATTTACAGTGAACAGTTGGAAGATGAAGTCAACTATTGGTTCTTGATTGTCTCCTAACATGATGTCCTCATCGTTATTAGAAGGAGGAATAGAAGAAGATGGTTGTTCAGAAGACACACCAATATTAGCATTGGGCCCCAAATCAGATGTATTGCTAGTGATGCCTGAAGTCCTAATCTCCTCTGAAACAGATTTGATGATAGGAACTTATGGTGGAGAAGAGACAGTGGATGTTGTAGATATGGTTGAGTCTGTGAAGGTGGGTGAAGAAATAAGGATTGTGACTAAGGGAAGAGATGTTTTAACATAACTCATTTGTTGTAGAGGAAGGATGGATGATATCAAAATTGATGAGGTGATTAGTGAGGTTTTTATATGTGATGTTGGTGTTGGATTAGTGTCTAAGTCCATAACTATTTTGGTATGTACTTGACTCGATGGTGCATGGTCCTTTTGGGTTGCCTTCACCAAAGCAACTTGATTGGAGAAATAAATATATATAGAGAGAGAGAGGTTATTATGATTTATTAATATGTTATAAGAATAATATATTAAAGGAGAAATCATATTTGTTTAATTAATATTGGTCAATAATTAATTAGGAATTAATTTTGTGATCAAGTGTAATTAATTAAACTAGAGGGGCTGAATTGTAATTATGTGATAGTTACAAAATATGGTAATGGTTATCCTAAATATGGGTTGAACGAATTCAAGGAGATAAGGATCCTTGAAATCATCCAAAGGATAAAGGATAAGGGTTTTCAAGGCTTATCTTATGGTTGCTTTGTGGATAAGCAACTAGATAAGGATAATGACTGAAACCCTATCTCTACACCTATATAAAGACCCTAAGGCCTTAGAATTCGTGTACTTGTTCCCAAGGAGTCCTAAGGACGAATTCTAACCTCTCTCCTCTCTCTTTATACCTTCTCCATTTGCTCTTGGTGTTTGTAAGCCATTAGAGGAGTGACACTTGTGACTCTAAGCATTCCAAAGTCAATTCAAGGAGATTTGGGATTATTATTGCTACATAACAATCAAGGTAACATTACAAACTCATTCTTATGTTAATATGATTACTTGAATGCTAGAATTAGGGTTTATAGTCTTGGATTCAAAGCATGTACAATAGAGAAACCTAGATCCAAGCATTAGGGTTTGTATGAGCACATAGGATGTCTTATGACCAAAACCCATCAATTGGTGGATTAAATGGAGGAGGAGGTGGAGGATGGGTGAGATTCAGAAATGAAGCCAAGCCTAATCCGAAGTCAAGTGCATTTCGAGATGTGATGAGTTCTGAAATGAAGCAACTTCCGAGATGAATACTAGTCTAAGAAGCACTTACTAGTCAGTGATATTTTGGGTATGTATTTGCTTTTAATATTTCTTGTCTTTTAGTCTTTTTTGTATTAGGATAGGATCAAGCAAATCAGTGTGTCACTTTTTGTCTTTGCAACTTTGCAAAGTCATGCAGACTTGTTGTTTGTCTTTTATCCCTCATTGTCTATTTAAGGAAAAGTTATTTTCCATGCAATACTAAGTATTTTTCAAGTTAAATCATTCTCTATAGCATTCTCATTGTTCTTAAATTATCTTTACTTTGTTCATACTCACTCACTCTTTCTTACTTGAATAATTTGTTGATCTATCATTTCGAGACAAGATTGGTTTCCCAGACTTGACTGGACAATTAATATTAGCAGTAGACATTGATCTTAAAAGTTAATTCAAGGTTTGAGTTTTAAAACCTTGTCCTCGCACAATTTTTGCACTCTCACCCTCCATCGCAATAATAAAGAGGAAATGTAACGCCCGTATATCCGGGCTAGTTAATTTAGAGGCAATAGGGGTCGAAAATGACTTTTCTACAAAATATTATTTAGAATAAATAATCTTAACCAACTTGTAGAATATGTCACAAGGTTTCCGTACATATAAAGAACGCCAAAATCCGAGTTATAACGAAGAAGTTATGGTCCGTCGAAGTTTTACGGCAAAACCGGCACGACACCGGGAAGCGTAAATAGTGAATTTACGATGGAGGACTTTTTAGCCTTAGTGATCGAAATGAAATTCGTAGAATATGTTAAACTAAGAGCGTCGATAAAAAGAACGCCCAAATCTGACTTCGTATGAAGAAGTTATGATTTTTCTAAGATTCGACTTAGCAGTGCACGACCCGAAACTTGAATTTTAGTTCGAGCAGTTTTTGGCTTACGCAACCTAAATGAGAGTTGAATATCTCATTAATAGGAACTCAATGGTAAAAAGACAGACGAAAACGGAGTCCGTATGAAGGAGTTATGAATTCTTCGCGGTCATTTAACAATCTAAACGCCTCCTACTGTAAAATTTGAGATTGGTCGAGAACTAGCTGACGGAGTCTAAACGAAAGTTGTAGATCTTGATTTTACCTACGCGTGGATATAAAGAACGTCGAAAACGGAGCTCGTAAGCGAAAGTTATGATTTTTCTAAGTTTGAAGGCTGATACGTAATAGGGGTGACGTGGCACCACCAGAATTGGACACGTGGCACCACCAGAAGGTTGCCACATGCACCAACTCGGCGAGTCATGACTTAGACTCGGCGAGTCCACCAGTCAGGCCTCCTATAAATAGAGGTGCCGGGCATTCACTTCTCTTCACACCTCTCCAACATTCTTTCTCTCTCTAGTTTCTCTCTCTAGCCTCCCAAACCCTCCCTAAAGCCTAGGTAAACCCCCTAGCACCCGAAGGAAGCCCCGAGGCTCCCGGAGTCCCAAGAAAAAGGGTCTTTCGGCTCGGAAACTCTGCTCCAGTGAAGCCCGGTTTTCAAGAAAACCCGCTGTAAGTGAGCTACGCCTACCCTATCTTTAGCATAGCTTATGTTTCGATATAGTAATGTTATTAGGACCTTAAAATAATTATTTGGGCTATTATTATGAGTTATATTGAGTGTTATTTAACACTTATATGATAATAATAATAGCTAGACTATTAATTAGTCACGGTTATCGTTAGACTAAACCCTAGTGGTATTGGTACTAGGTTTTATCGAAGGAAAATTGTTTTGAGAGTATCGAAGTGCTGTTCGAGTGCCGACTCATCACCTTATCAGGTGAGTGCATAGTCCCTTTCATCTTACACATAGATATGAAGTATATTAATATAAATTACGTGCGGTGTGTGCATATTGTCTGAATACTTGTTGTCTATGCTGGGTGAAAGATTTTATACATGTTTTAAATGATTTAAACTATATATGTATTTTATATCTATGAAAATGTTGGGGTAAAACATGGGTAGATATAATAGATGAAATATGAGTTGGATGATGAGTTGAGAGGTGATATAGACTATGAGGTGTGGGTGAGAGGTGTACGATGTGAGAAGCCTTTTTCCCAAACGATGTCCCCGTCATTCAGCAGAGTATGGATGACAACCACGGACTATCCTAGATAGTCCAGTGGAACACTAGCAAGCACGCAACCTGTAGGTGTTGTGAACGATGTGTTCACCTGGTGTAATCTAAACCTTGGTGATCATGCAGAGTTGATACCTAGACCCTGGCGATCATGCAGACTTGGTGCCAAAACCCTGGCGACTATGCAGACTTAGTGCCTATTGTATAAATTCTGGCGACTATGCAGACTTAGTGCCTAAACCCCGATGACGATGGACTTCGTGCCGATTCCTTAGGATGATCCTTAGGAACGTATGAACGAGGAATAGTTGATTCTTAGGGTAGATCCCTAAGAATAAAACAGATAATGGGGATGGGTAATTGGGTTGATTGTTTTATTGTTTGAAACATAATAATTATATTATTGTGGGTTGAAAACCCTATGTACTCACCAGGTTTCCCAACCTGACCCACTCAGTTTATTTATATCACAGGTGTTGATATGAAGTTACATTACACTGAGAGATTTAAAGAGATGTAGATCACTAGTGTAAATAAATGTAAGTTCTGTTTATGCTTATGTTTCTGTATAACGATGACATCCCAAACGTTTTGAAATGAATAAAATACGTTTCTTCGAAAATGTTTTAATAACGTATTTATCGTGTTTTTCTGGGAACAAATTCCGCAACATTTTTATTTAAAGAACTCTGATTTTTAAAAAGCATAAACAAATTCGGTCTTTTCTGGCCGTGAATTTGGGGATGTCACAGTAAAGGAGCTAGATGGTCTCCTTGCCACACACCTCTCTTATATCAAACTCTCTAGTTGTAGAGACATTAACCTAGATGGAAGCTCTTCTATATGAACGAAACATGTATATCCACCTTCTCCATTTGCTACTAAAGTCCTTTTGTTGCTAGGGTTTCAGTCAAAACCCTAATTGGATAACTTAGGCCTTAAGAAGTCCAATGGAACCTTCTAGAATAAGGCCTTGGAAGATTTCAAGGTGGCCTTCCACCCTAATTTCATCC